GGCTATGGGATTATGTTGTTGAGCCTTAATTGATGTTATTGAATTAATTATGCCTAGATACCTTTGTTTCGGAGGCGGATTTTAGAGGAAAGGCGGTATTGGAGAGTTGATTGCTATTCTTTGGACAGAGGTAAGTGTTTGATCTAACTCTGGCTTGAGGGAATAGGATTAGAGTGTTATTAATTGCTATTTGCTAAATGATCGAGTGCGGTGTATATGCATGGTGACGAGTATCTATACACCGGTGTCTAGCATGACCGTGGGTCTTTGTTGTTACTTGTTTTTGGTATATTTTGGGACTATTCCAAACAAATTAATGCTTCCTACATAATGTGAAGAGTTGAGGATAAATTGTGAATTTGTGGATTCTTTGGAGCGTTGGCTCGAACGATAAAAATACGATTGAGTAAGAAATGAAAGAATTGGAAAGAGTTGTGATTACTCCCTTGCCGGGACGCGTAGCATATTATTGTTGTTGCTCCCTTGCTGGGATTTAAGCATTATATGTATTCTCCCTTGCTGGGATATTTGGGCTATTAGTTGTACCCTTACCGGGTTAAATCGTTATGTTGATGAATTTCCCCAATGGGGCCTCCTCTAAAAGATTATATGTATTATTCATTATGAAACGGGATCGTGTGGCACGCCGTCCACTTATGATTTATGAAATGGGATCGTGTGGCGCGCCGTCCACTTATGATTTATGAAATGGGATCATGTGGCGCGCCGACCACTTATAAACTATATACTATGGGATCGTGTGGCGCGCCGACCACTTATAGGAGTCATAGTGTGGATGTAGTTTCGTTGTTATATCTGTTGATCTGTTTTCATTGTACTCCCCCGAGCATGCCCCTTCCCAGTTTTTATTTTGATATTTTCTGTTGTTATTTCCGTTGCCTTTGTGTGTGTGTGTGTGTATATATATATATATATATATATATATATATATATATATATATATATATATATATATATATATCTGTACAGGTTGATTTGGTAGTCCTGTCTAGCCTCGTCACTACTTCGTCGGGGTTAGGCCAGGCACTTACCAACACATGGGGTCGGTTGTGCTGATGCTACACTTCTGTGCTCTTTTGCACAGATCACGGTACCGGAGCAGCTTTTGGACCACAACAGTAGTATACTGGGCGGGAGCTGACTTCGGTCCAGGGACTTACGAGGTAGCCTAGCTGGCGTTCGCAGGCCGGAGTCCCTTCTTATATCTTCTGTTTGTTTTCATTGTATCGAGACAGACACTGTGTATTTTCCTATTCAGACTTGTTTGCAGTATTCATTAGTAGTTCATGAGATAGCGACTCCAGTCTTGGGCAGTGAAATACTAAACTTCCGCATTTTTGGGTTTTCAGATATTTCTGTTATAAAAGACTTCCGCTTTTATTTAAAGGTTTATTATTGTTATAAATGTTGTGTTGTTATCCAAAAAGGTTTAAATGTTTGGCTTGCCTAGCTCCAACAGTAGGCGCCATCACGACTCCCGATGGTGGGAAATCCGGGTCGTGACAAATAAGTTGGCAGGGAAGCTATCAAATCGTCGATGTATGGCGTCCAGATGAACTATCAAATAAGAACATGAAACGTGAGTATGCGCAACACTAAGTTAACCTACACCAGGTAAGTTTAGGTACATATTTACCTGTGCGCCCTCCAGCAGATCCAACACATCCCAGTAGAAGGGGAGATTATGATGAGCATCATACTCTCGTGAAAGTGTACGGCGGAGAACTCACCTCCTGGATAGAGGGAGAAACGGAGGTGCTACATTAGGAGGTAATTGTGGTCGAGGTGGCTGAAACTGCAAGAACCGCTCCCAGGCCCAAATTTAACATACAAAGCTGACGTAAGGTTTAAGATAAATTCTAACTAGGTAGAGTTGGAACTGATGAAAAGATTATTTGAATATGTTGCCACCTGTAGAAGTGGCATAAAACCACAAACATCTCTCTGAGTGCCCATGCTCGCCCGACACATCTGCCTATACATGTAGCCTAGAACAACAGCACCCCAGCTATAATAGGGTAACTCATCTAGCAGCTGAAGATGATGCAAAAATATCAGGCTGACTAGGTTCCCCGAAGTGTTCGGGAACAAGACCTCTCCAAATAGAAGAAGCAACAACAACCTCGTATACCGGGTGATATGTACCTCCTCTGTATCGTCGGTGATATCGGGGTGGAGTACCTCCAGGTAGGGCTGTCAAATTTGGCCCAAGCCCAAATGACCCGCCCAACCCGTCCAAGGTTGGGTTGGTTGTTGACCCGCCCATTTATTGAATTTAGCCCATCTTGACCCAACCCATCTCAACCCATTTAAAGTTGGGCTAATTTTTAGCCCAAATTGATCCATGAGTAAGTTTGTCAAAATATCTTAGAAATAATTTTATTTTTTGTTTAATATTTTAAATATGACCATAACAAAAGCAAAAAAGCCTTATTTAGTAATTATACAATTTATAAGAAAATAACACATATTAATTAAAGTTTAATAAGAGTTGGGCGGGTTGGGTTATGACCCGAATTTTAACCCATCTTGACCTAACTCATCTTAGCTCAAGTAACTTTTGGGTGGGTCATTTCACCCGCCCAATTATTGACTCAACCCATTTTGACCCGCCCAAAATTGACCCAACCCGCCCATTTGACACCCCTACCTCCAGGTACTGTCTAATAGGGGTCAAAGTCAACCGACTAGCACCCGACGATGCAGTCTCGTCCCGTGGCCTAAAACCCGTGAGCTGCTGCATCATGTCCAAATAAGCATCACGCGACATATATCTCATAGCAATAGGCAGTGAAACGGCCATGCCATCAGCGGGCAGGCCATATAAAACCTCTACGTCCTACAGCATGATGGTAGCCTCGCCAATGGGCAGGTGAAAAGTGTGCGTCTCCGGTCGCCACCGCTTAATCAACGCCGTGATCAAAGCCCAATTAACCTGTATCCGCCCGATCTCAATAATCCTATAGAATCTCGTATCCTGGAGGCCATGGACTACACGCTCGTGGAGATCTCTGTGCCTCAGAAAATCCCACAGGTCGTCCACTCTCCTAGCGCAGAGAGTCTGGGACAGTAACTCTCCCTCCCATATACGGGCGGACCTATGATCGCCCTGAAGCACTAATAGCTCACGAGAGTAAGGGCAGCGCGTCCATGTCGTCAACGGTAAATTAAACAACATTAATCGTATGTTTATTATTTGATTGTACAAAGTATATATAACATCGGGTTCTAGGTTCGATATTTGAGGCTCAGTAGCACCAAACTATCATTAATATTTATGCGTGTCAAATTCAATTTTTTGATTATTTTGTGTGTGTTTGTTTTATAATTTAAATTCTTAATTTTTAATTATTTGATTGTACAAAGTATATATAACAATTGAGTTCCATGCTCGATATTTGAGGCCCAGTAGCACCAAACTATCATTAATATTTATGCGTGTCAAATTTAAATTTTTGATTATTTTGTGTGTGCTTGTTTTATAATTTAAATTCTAAATTTTTAATTATTTGATTGTACAAATTATATATAACAACTGGGTTCTAGGCTCGATATTTGAGGCCCAGTAGCACCAAACTATCATTAATATACGTGTCATATTCAATTTTTTGATTATTTTGTGCGTGTTTGTTTTATAATTTAAATTCTTAATTTTTAATTATTTGATTGTACAAAGTATATATACCTATTGGGTTCCAGGCTCCATATTTCAGGTCCAGTAGCACCAAACTATCATTAATATTTATGCGTGTCAAATTCAATTTTTTGATTGTTTTGTGTGTGTGTTTGTTTTATAATTTAAATTCTTAATTTTTAATTATTTGATTGTCCAAAGTATATATAACTATTGGGTTTCAGGCTCGATATTTGAGGCCCAGCAGCACCAAACGATCATTAATATTTATGCGTGTCAAATTCAATTTTTTGATTATTTTGTGTGTGTTTGTTTTATAATTTAAATTCTTAATTTTTAATTATTTGATTGTACAAAGTATATATAACTATTGGGTTCCAGGCTCGATATTTGAGGACCAGTAGCACCAAACTATCACGAATAATTATGTGTGTCAAATTCAATATTTTGATTATTTAATTGTACAAAGTATATATTTTCATCTACCAGTATAAGAAATACTTAAACTACAGGGATTCTACGCTAAAATACTATACAGTTTACTACGCTAAAAGTTTCTACATTTTACTACGCTAATAAATAAACTAAATATAAACAACAATACATTTTAATCACATAACATTCACAAAAATACATATAACATACTAGTTTCACAAATTAAACACAAAACGACATGGAAACACTAATATCTAAATTCGGATATTAACATAAAACATTAATCTCAATTTTACATCTTTTTTAGAACACTAATATCTAAGTCCGGATAAATAATAACATATTAGTTTCACAAATAAAACACAAAACGACATGGAAACACATTCAATAGGCAGTGATATATTATTATACAAGTTTGGACATAAAATAAATCGAAATATCTCGATGTAGTGAGTGTTTTGTGTGAAAATTTGAAGACGAAGCAGTTAAACCACAATAATACAATGCTATACTATGATGTGGGACCTACGTTCTTAACCTTTTGTGTGACAGGAGGGGCCCACAATTGTTTTTTTAAAATCGAGCAGTGGGGGGACCAGAAGCAGGGGGATTTTAAAAAAAAATTTGGGGAAAGGGTTCTGGTCGGGGAAGAAGAGGAAGAGCATTATTTAAATGGGGTTATAGCGTATGGAAAAAAAATACTATATATTGCGTACAATAACAAGACGCTATATATGGAAGTCAAATTGTATAGTGTATGAATACAAGACGATATACCTTAATGGCAGACGTTACCGTTAAGGTATAGCGTCTTGTATTTGCACGCTATATATAGATATGTATTTTTTTAACACCTATTAACGTAATTTGAGTAAAAAAAAAACAATATTTAAGGTCCGGATTGGCAAAATTAGGGCACACGGAATTTAGATCCCCACTTTCCCATCCGCTGGGAAATTTCCAGCAATTCACTGAGCGAAATTCTTTAGCCATTGAAGATGAATAGAATTTCTCTGCGTTACGCTCGCAACGGTATTCCCTTTTTCTCTTTCATTTCAATTCGAACTTATTCTTCCTGCAATAGTAATACATCCATTTCAGTAAAGGGTAAATTTGGGGTAAATAGCAAATTTGAGAACGTCAAGTGTTTAGATGATGCTCTGACTCTCTTCCATCAAATGGTCAGAGTGAAGCCTCTTCCGTCTCTTGTCGACTTCTATAAATTATTTAAGACTATGCTAAATATGAAGCATTACTCTGCTGTAGTTTCTCTTTTTAAGAAATGCAGAAATGGATAGAGCGAGGAGACTTTTGGATTTCATGATAGATAAATGCATTGAACCTGACATTATTAGCTATAACATACTAATAAATGGATATTGTAAGAAAAAGAAGTTGGATGAGGCCACACAGTTGTTTCGTGAAATTTCTCGAAGGGGATCAAAGCCTAATATTGTTACCTACAATACCATCTTGCAAGGTCTGTTTGAAGTTGGACGGATTGGCTCTGGAAAAAAGTTCTTTGATGAGATGCTATCTACGGGGCTTGTACCTGATTTATGCATTCATGGCACATTGCTCAATGGTTATTTTAAGTATGGACTTGTTGATGAAGCTATGTCACTCTTTAATGAGTTGGAAAGAAAGAGAGGAAAGTCTGATATTGAATTTTACAATGTTGTCATTAATGGATTGTGCAAAAATAGAAAACTTGACAAAGCTCATGCTATTTTTGAGAAGCTTTCTTTTATTGGATTGCTTCCGAATGTGAGAACATACAATACAATGATAAATGGACTTTGTCTTGAAGGGTTGTTAGATGAAGCTAAAGATATGCTAAGAAAAATGGAGAACGATGGTTGTTTGCCAAACGGTATCACTTACAACGTTATTGCTCAAGGATTTCTCAGGTGCAACAGAATTAGTGAAATGACAACTTTTATGAAGGAAATGGCTGGAAGGAAATTCTCATTTGATGCAACTACAACTGCGTTATTGGTAAATGTTATAAGGGAGAATCCTTCTGTCCTTGACATGATACCAGAGCTTCACTTGAAAAATAACAAGTGAATATTTCTTTCGCTTGGTTTATCCGGCTACACAATCACTGTGATACAATTTCCTTTTACCTCTCAAAAGAAATCGCATCTGATGCAATCACATAATCTGGAAAAAAAGGCAATTAGAACATTTCTCGAGCTTTCCAAGCATGCCTATTGAGGAGGTACATCAATTTTATTACGTTGATTATTTCCCAGTCTTCTTTATTGTAGAAATCAAATGTTATTGCACTCTGAATAGGAGAAATAACCATTTGGTATTCGCAACCTAGAGACTCGACTAATTCAGATTCGCACGCGCATATGCCCCATTTAAGGGGAAATTGTTCTTTACCAGGGGTTTGTCCATTCCCAGAACTCTAGCCCGAAACCCCTTGGCTCATTTTTAAGTATCAATTGTAAAGAAGACTTGTTATATCATTTATCTTGTGAACTGCTGGGGTTATTTTCTCATACTAGTTTCATATCTGATGCTTTTGATGCTCGTTCTCTTTGGTGTCTTTGAGGATGAAAAAATTGATCTTCTCCTGAACTTTGGATTTTGTTAGTATTTTCCTTTTGTTTATTTTCTACAGGAAGAGGTTTCGAAGCCCTATTTTTTTAGTAACAATTTCTAGTCTTTGGCTAAAGAAGTGTATTACTTGTCACCGGATGGCCAAAATAAATCATCATATAATTTGATTATTGGCTACGCCTTCTTGACTTTTTCTTGTATCTCTTTCTATACTTTATTCCATCTTCAATCTCAGTAGAATGACTAGTCTTATGTAGTGTGTAGACTTCACTCTTTCCCTACTATTAACCTTTACCTTCCACTTTTTTTGGTTTCCTACATAAATGACTTGCTGCATTTATTCTTCAATGGTTAAGTGATTGAGAGTGTAATGCAGTTAGCTGTATACCTTCTCTTTCAGGTTCTTCATTACATCCATCAGATTGAATCTTTATCTCATTTCATACTACCAATGGTATGAAATGCCTACTGCATCATCAGCTCAATCCGCGGAACCACATAGGCTCAAGGGTGGTCAGTCAAACAATTTTGCTGGAAAATTAGACTGCATATACTAAATCGTGAATGTCCTCTGAAATTCCTGTCACCATTGCATAAGCTCATAAAATTTAGTGGGCTTTAATGTTTTGATAGGGAACTAAGAATACGTTCATGTTGTTTTCACTTACTGTCTTTTGTAACAACATGGCTCAAGAAATGCTTATACAATTAGCTAGTACTCTTCTTTTTCCTTTTAAAAATAATTCTTACTTAAATCCAATTTACTATGAATTCACAACTCTCCGGCGCTATCAATATTATTCCTGCTTTTCATTTTATAGGCACTATATTCTGTTACTCCATCCCAAAAAGGCGAAATTTTTATATTTGGAAACAATATATTTTTGAACTGTTCATTGGAAGAAACTTAATGACATAAAGACTGGAATAATTGAGTAGTATTTGGATGGGAAGTATCTGCTGACTCCAACATGCAAATACTCAGTCAGCAGAAGCTATATTTGCAATGAAATATAACATGTCCAGATGCAAAGTAGCAGACTTATTGTGCCTATGTGATGACTTGCTTGTCGAAACACAGCAACATCTATTCTATGAATGTAGCTGGATAGCAGAAGTGAAAAATGGCCTAGCAGACTGGATTGGTTTGTCTATCAGGAGACATTTACGCAGGGTCCGACAAGGTCCGCACCCCCTTGTAGGCAACCTATCCTCGTGGCTGATTTCACGGCTCAAAGATATATAGCTCACACGGAGACAACTTTACCGTTGCTGAAAGCCTCTCCTTCCTTGGATGATGCAGAGCTTAAAATGGATGGAAATTAGACATTTGAGACAACTCAAGGAGGAGTCATCCAAGAAAGCTCACGGGTGTATTTTTTTTTAATTCAGAGATTATGTAATTAGTTTTTTGTTGGAGGCCTAAGCACCCAACTTNACTTCGAATTTAATTTCTATTTCAGTGTTCATCTCTGATGTAAGGCGACACTCTTACGTCCGTGGTTAGATCTTGTTCACACCGAGCATCATAAGGCAGGTTATATCCTTGAGGTGATGAGCTTTTCTCCGTGGCAATAGTGATGTGGATATCACTTACGTCTGGAGTTGCCAAATTTGTGTAAAGTAATTTGAGCTTTTTGCTTATATTTTGTTTAATATCTTTATCATCGCTTGCTTGGTTATATGTTACGTATACAGTACCTATTTTGGTATTAGTTTTCATCCTTATTATCTTAATAAAGGATTATAAAGTGGATAACATTGTTAGTTCCACTTAAACTCCAGCAGAGTTTGCAAGAAATATATAACCACCAGAAGTGGTTATGTTTTGTATATCTCATTGTAACTAAATTTTGTTAACCACCAGAAGTAGTATATGCCTATAACCACCAGAAGTGATAATTTAGGCTTTCTATGGTTACAATTGAAGATAAGCTAGAGAAAATTTCTCTATATTACTTGTATGCCTCGATTTGCTCCTGAAGTAGCATTATCTTAAAAGAGGTTGAAGCATCGCATGATTTGGTGTGATTAATGCACGTTCAGATAATTATCTTTCGTTCCATGAAGGATGAGAACTTTTGATAAATATTAATCCATTCCCCGAAGTGAATGTGACAATATTAATAAAGCTCGTAAATATGAACGCGCTTTTGATATGAATATATTACAAATCACCTCCAGAAGAGGTAATATGATTGAGAGAATATATACTCATTTTTTCGTATTTTAAATTTACTCCTGAAGAAGTAACACAATTGACATTTTCTCCTGAAGCAAGAAAATATTATGAAATTGTGTCTTTATGTGCTTAAACAAAATAATAAGCTATTCAAAGTTATTTTTGAAGCACATTTTCATTCCTGGAGTGAATGAAGAAATACCACAACTCACCTCCTGAAGAGGTAGAATAACAAAGGATATAAATCTTATTTTTGTGGCATAAAGATCATTGTCGCACGTACCCGTTGTACGTAAAATATCTTGGAAAATTTTATTAAATATCATTCCAAGGCAAAAGTATTCTTGTAGAATACTTTCTACTACAACCACATTAATATGTTCTGGTTAGTTATCGAGTTCCCTAAAGGAAATAACAAGTCATGTAACTTTCCCTGAAGGATGTAATGACTATGTAGTTACCGCTTTGATATAAAATATTCAGATGTTAATGGCGTTTCTCCTTGAAGGAGACATTTGTCACAAAATTGATGGTATGAAATTCTTAATTTCTTACATTTATAAATTTAGTATTGTCTTTCTATTGTTCATTTGATTATGACTTTTTTTCTCATGACACAAGAAGTGTCTGAGCGATATTTGGTAGTACAAAATTTATCAAAAACTCCTGAAGAGCTAATTGTTTGTCTAGAAGACACAACACCAATAGTGTCCGATAAATATTAGATTGTGGATAATAAATGAAGTCTCTCGAAGAGCTTATATACAAATATGTCATTCACCAAAACATATGTTGTAGTAAACATGAAGTTTACTAATACAAATGACAATCATACCGAGACTACAAATGATTGAAAGATTGAAAATCTTTATATTTCCACAATCATAGGGGGTAAATATGAATGTGAGAAGTTACCCGCCTTATTCTTCAATTTGTACTACATCATGTATCACAGTAAACCAGAAGTTTACTAATGCAAAATCAGCTACAGTAAATAAGAAATTTACTTATACAAAAGTAGCCACAGTAAACCAAAAGTTTACTAATGCAAAATTTTGTGCCATAGTAAATCAAAAGTTTACTAAGAGATAGCACATGTCATGATAAACTTGAAGTTTTCATTTGCCATTTTTAAATGAGCAATTTGAGAATTCTGATAAGCATATACTGAAGAACCAGAAGATTCTTCAAGAATTCTCTTGTGTTGCTTGTTCTCATAATAAATTGATTATACCGGCTAAAGTTGGGACTAAACCCCTGAATTCTGAAATATATAAAAGGTGAATATGGGCTCATTCACCTATCATGTGAACCACTTATAGATGCATATATAAGATAGTTACATGTATGTTTACTGTTAACCTGCAGTTTGGCATTTGAGATTGCTTTTCTCAATTAAGAGCATAACTTTCAGATTATGAAATCAAGATAGTTTATCTTGATAATGCTGGTTTATATCCAAGCTGGTTTAGCATTGAATGCCTCCTACTAATGGCTAAACCATTGCTTATGAGAACAAAGCTTCATTGCTTGTCAAATTATCATCAATATGATCCTCACTTAAAAGATAATTCACGTCATATGCCAGATGTCACGACCCAAACCCCGTTCGTGATGGCGCCCAACACTAATGCTAGGCAAGCCCGACCAATTGAATACTCACAACCCAAATACGCAATCTGTTACCAAATAACACGATTAAAAATAGCAGTTATCAAAGTTCTAACCACGCCACTCAATCCTCGGAATACCCGGAATAGCCAACGTAACTGTCTTGGCATGACAGTCCAGAATCGCATGATACGGAGATAGCCAGTCCATACCCAGAATAATATCGAAATCTACCATGCTCAATAGCAATAAGTCGACTCGGGTCTCCAGACCCCCAATAGTCACTAAACAGGATCGGTATACATGATCTACAATAATAGTATCACCCACCGGGGTAGATACGTGAACAGGCAAAGCAAGACAACCTCGGGTAGTCCCCAGATGATGAGCAAAGTATGAAGATACATAGGAATAGGTGATCCGGGATCAAACAAAACAGAAGCATCCCTGTGACAGGCTGAGATAATACCTGTGATAACCGCGTCTGATGCAATGGCGTCCCTCCTGTCTGGGAGAGCATAGAATCGAGCCTGACCACCGCCAGTCCGGCCTCCACCCCTGGGGCGGCCTCTGGCTACCTGACCTCCGCCCCTGGCTGACTGGGCGGGTGCTGATGAAACAGGAGCAGAAGATGAGGGCTGATCCCTCTGCTGAGACTGACTACCACGGAGCCAAGGACACTGTCTCCTCATATGACCAAACTCACCGCAGTCGTTACAACTACCTGGTGCTGGATAAGGGGACTGATGGGAACCCCTCGCTGCAGAAGAACCCTGGGCTGAACAGGTAGGAGTAGAGCTCTGAGCTGGAAGGGCACTAAGTGAAGACTGGCCCTGCTGAAATCCCTGATGTCCACGACCTGAAGAAGCCCCACTGTATTCTGGATGACCTGACTGAGGAGGCCTGAAGGAACGACCTCTGCCACGCTGGAACTGGCCCCTAGACGGAGCACCACTAAAGCTACCTGAACCACAAGGCCTCTTGGCCTCTCTCTCCTCACGCTCCCGACGGCGATCTGTCTCAATCTGGCGAGCCATGTCAACTACCTCCTCGAACAAAGCACCCGTAACTCTCTCTCTGGTCATCAAAATACGGATTGGATAGTTGAGGCCATCCACGAACCTCCTAATCCTCTCCCGATCAGTCGGGATCATCCACGTAGCATGTCGAGCTAAACTGGGGTAAAACCCTCAAACTCACTACTCGGGTCACAGTCATGTCCCCCTGAATCAACCACTCAAACCGACAACGCATACTTCTCCAGAAAGAGAGTGGAGAATTGCTGCCATGTGAGGGGCGCTGCCCCAGCAGGCCTACACCTCTCAAACTCCTCCCACCAAGCAAATGTAGGTCCTGAGAACTGGAAAGTAGTGAATGCCACCCCACTCGACTCTAAGATCCCTGCGGTGCGAAGCATGCGCTGACACTTATCCAGGAAACCCTGGGCATCCTCGCCCTCAGCACCACTGAAAAATGGAGGCTGAAGCCTACTGAACCTTTCGAGATGACGTTGCTCATCGTCTGACATAGCTGGAATCACATGGGCTGGAGCTGGTGCAACTGGTGCGACTGGAGCAACTGGCGGAGCTAGGGCTGCTCCCGGTGTCTGAAATCCCTGGGCAAACGGCTCAGGTGTGTGAGCAGCAGGGGTCTGATGTCCTCCCCCGGTCTGGGAAGTAGCTGCAGTAGTGGCTGAGACTGCCTGAGCCAGGCCAGTGCAAACGGATAAAATCTGAGCCAAGGCCTCCTGGAGGCCAGGAATCACAATGGGCACTGCTGGTGCCTGCACGAGTGCTGGTGGAGCACCAAAAACTGGGGTCTGGCCCTGAACTGTGGCAGCTGGTGGGTCAGCAGGTGCTGCCTCTAGTGCTCTGCCTCGATTGCGTCCACGGCCTCTAGCGGGTGGTACTGGTGGTCGTCGTCCGTTAGCACGAGTTCTCGCCATCTGCGAGAGAATAGAATACATAAGTTTAGTTCTCGAATCAATAAAGTCGCACGACTAGAATTTCAAGAGTATGGAGTTTTCCTAAAGGTTCTGCAGCCTCTCGAGGAGAAGTACATGCGTCCCCGTACCGTTCTGCGAGACTCTACTAAACCGGCTCATGACTCGCGAGGCCTAGTAACCTAGGCTCTGATACCAACTTGTCACGACCCAAACCCCGGTCGTGATGGCGCCCAACACTAATGCTAGGCAAGCCCGACCAATTGAATACTCACAA